TGTATGCCACGAAACAAGAGAACCTAGAAGAAATGGATAAATTCCTGGATTCCTATAATCTCCCAAGATTGAACCAGGAAGACTTGGGATACCTGAATAGACCCATTCATATCAAGAAAATTGAAGCGGTAATCAAAAGTCTTCCCCAAAACAAAAGCCCTGGCCCAGATGGATTCATTAGTGAATTCTTCCAAACATTCAAAGAAGACCTTTTGCAAGTTCTCCTCAAGCTTTTCCAGGAAATTGAAAAAACAGGAACTCTCCCAAACAGCTTCTATGAGGCACATTTCTCCCTAATACCAAAAGCAAACAAAGACCCCAACAACAAAGAAAACTATAGGCCAATATCCCTGATGAACACGGATGTGAAGATTCTCAACAAAATATTAGCAAATAGAATCCAACAACTCATCACAAAGATCATACACCATGACCAAGTAGGATTCATCCCAGGGATGCAAGGATGGTTTAACATTCGGAAAAATCAATCATCATACTCCATCATATCAAAAAAAGAAAAGATAAACAAATGATCATATAAATAGACACAGAGAAAGCTTTTGACAATGTCCAACACCCATTTATGATGAAAACTCTCACCAAAATGGGTTTTGAAGGAACTTTCCTCAAGATAGTCAAAGCTATCGACGACAAACCCATGGCAAGCATTATCCTCAATAGGAAAAAACTAAGGCCTTTCCTCTAAGATCAGGGACAAGACAAGGATGCCCACTATCACCACTTCTGTTTAACATAGAGCTGGAAGTACTTGCAATAGCGATTAGGCAAGAAAAATACATTAAAGGCATCCAGATAGGAAAGGAAGAAATCAAGCTCTCACTATTCGCAGATGATATGATACTATGGCTTGAGAATACTAAATCCTCTACCAAGAAACTTCTAGAAACAATAGACTTGTATAGTAAAGTCACAGGCTATAACATCAATGCCCCAAAATCTACGGCCTTCCTATATAAAAATAATGAGAGAGAGAAAAGTGACATGAAAAAAATAATCCCGTTCACAATTGTGCCCCAGAAAATTAAATACCTCAGAATCAGCCTAACTAAAGAGGTAAAGGACCTCTACAATGAAAACTACAAAACGCAACTCCATGAAATAAAAGAGGACACGAAGAAATGGAAACATATCCCCTACTCATGGATAGAAAGAATTAACATCGTCAAAATGGCAATAATCCTGAAAGCATTATACAGATTCAGTGCTATCCCTATAAGGATACACATGAAATTCTTCAAAGAAATAGATCAAGCACTCCTGAAATTCATATGGAACAACAAACGCCCACAAATAGCTAAAGCAATTCTTGGGAAAAAGATGTGGGGAGGCATTACCCACCCCAACCTCAAACTCTACTACAAAGTGGTAATAATTAAAACAGATGGTACTGGAACAAAAGCAGGGTCGCAGACCAATGAAACTGGGTTGAATATCCGTACACACAACCCCAAATGTATGGACATCTAATCTTTGATAAGGGAGCAAGAAATGTGAAGTGGAACAAAAAAAGCCTCTTCAATAAATATTCCTGGCATAACTGGACAACCACATGCAAAAAAATGGGTTTAGACCTCGAACTAACACCATGCACAAAAGTCAGATCAAAATGGATTAAAGATCTCAACATCAGGCCAAAATTCATAAGGTACATTGAAGACAAGGTCGGCAAAACCCTCCACGATATTGAGGCTAACAGTATCTTCAAAGATGACACTCCCCTGACCAACCAGGTGGAAACAAAGATAAACAAACGGGACTATCTCAGTGACCAGAATACAAAGACAATCTACAGAATGGGAAAGGATATTTACCAAATACCCATCTGATAAGGGGTTGATATCAAGGATATACAAAGCACTGGTTGAACTCTACAAGAAGAAAACATCTAACCCCATCAAAAAAAGGGGGTGATGAAATGAACAGAAACTTTCCCAAAGAAGAAATATAAATGGCTAAAAGGCACATGAGAAAATGCTCTACATCACCAATCATCAGGGAGATGCAGATCAAAACAATAATGAGATATTATATCACACCACAGAGACAGGCCCACATCCTAAAGAACAAAAGCAACTGGTGTTGGCGTGGATGTGGCGAGAAAGGGAATCCCCTTCACTGCTGGTGGGAATGCCAACTAGTTCAGCCCTTTTGGAAAACAGTATGGACGATCCCCAAAACATTAGAAATTGAGCTCCCATTTGACCCAGCAATACCACTCCTGGGAATATATCCCAGAGGCAAAAAAGTACAGTTGAGATGACATCTGCACTTGTATGTTCATTGCTGCTCTATTCACAATAGCCAAAATCTGGAAAAAACCCAAGTGCCCGAGAACAGATGACTGGTTAAAGAAACTTTGGTACATCTACACAATGGAGTACTATGCAGCTGTTAGAAAAGATGAAGTCATGAAATTTACACACAAGTGGTACTACATGGAAAGTATCATGCTAAGTGAAATGAGTCAGAAAGAGAGGACAGACATAGAAAGATTGCATTCATCTGGGGAATATAAAGTAACAAAATATGAGACTAACACCCAAGAATAGCTGAGATAAGTACCAGGAGGTTCACTCCAATGCTTGGAGGCCAGCCACACATTCTAGGGGAAAAGGCAGCTCAGATACAGGAGGGAGCACCAAATAAAGGGTGTTAGGAGGATCCTCCCAGGATGAGAGATGTATGCTGAAAGTAGACTATAGATTGAACATGATTGCCACTCAATGCCTCTTTTGCAAACCACAGCACCCAGTACCTCATGGTGTTGCACTAATAGGAATTTTAAAAAATAGAATAAAATTAAGAAAGTAAAAAAAAAAAAACCACACTGGGTGGGGCCAGAGAGATCACTCAATGGGCTGAACACATGCTCTCCATACAGAAGAAGGCCTGGATATTCAAGCCTTGACACTGCATGGTCCCTTGAGCATTACCTGAGCCCCTCTTCACCATTGGGAGTTACCCCAAACCAAAAATAAAAATACAGCAACAAAAAAAGAAAGAAAGAAAAAAGACACCCCCCTACACAAAAAAGGAGGAATAGACAAATCCACAGGTAAAACTGGAGATATCAGTTTCCCTCTCTCAGTAGCAGACACCAGGCCTCAGAAACTCAGCAAAGCAATGAAAGAAGCAAACAGTCGCCAGCAGCTGTGTCAAGGTCACTCTTAAGGAACGTTTCATCCAAGGAGCAAAAAGCGCAGGCAGAACATTCAGACTGGAGTGTGATCTCCGAGGGCAGAAAGAAATCTGACTGTAATAATAAAAACGAAAAGCTCATGCATGAAACCACGCGCCATCTGAGAGCACCACAGAGGAAAATGGGCCGAACCTGCAAAGCCTGACTAAGCAAGACCCCTGCTGGGGAGAAGGATGTTCACACTGCAGGTTCCTATGAGAGGGACAGGGGGGATTGGTTTCACCAGGACCCCGCCCCCACCTCTGTGACTCAGAGGAAGAGAAGCCTGGGACAGGAAGTGAGTGCCCCTCTACCCTCTGCTGGGCAAGAACACTGTGAAGTCCTGGTTTTTGCATAATTAATGCTGGGAGTGAGCACAGAGAGGCCAGCATGGTGGGGCACCTTCAGGGTTCTACCTACCAGCCCAGGCTCCACTAAGGCCAGAGAGTTTCCCCAAGTGGGCAATAAGTGCCCCCTGGTGGGCAGATGCTGGATCCATTCAGAGGGACAACTGATCCCTAAAAGAAGGCAAATTTTTGGCGGGCAGCTGTATGATTTTTTTTTCTCTAAAGGGGCTGGGGGCCAAGGAAACCTCTGCACAAGGATGATTAGCAAAAAGCAAGCAAACACAACATGAAGGACATAAAGGATGTTCTATTAAAAAAGAAAGCTGGTGTGGGGAGTTGGGTGGCAGTTATTCTTCAACAATAGCACTGTCATATAAAAAAGTAAGTAAAGACCATGGAAATGTTCCACATGATAAAGACATGAGTATCAAATGCAATCAATCATCTGAGGCTGGATCCTGGACTGAAAGGTCAAAGAAATAGCTCAAGGGTTGGGGCGGTAGCTCTACGTGCAAGAATCACCTTCCCATCATTGGTAGCTCATGGCCTCTGGAAGCCTGTCGAGTGTCCCCCAACATTAAACTTCCCAGGCCTACTGCATGCATAGCATACTCTTCAGTCTGTTGAGCCATCGCCCCAGCCCAAAGGCTGAAATTACAATTTTATCTGATCTACCTATATTCTCATTATTCCACTTCTCCAAAACATCTCCTTTTGTAGCTAACTTCCTGACCAGGCATTAAACTTCTTAAAGTTGGAAACTATAGAGTGGCCATGTGAGAATTCATCATTTTTCTTTCTTTCTTTTTTTTCATTTTTTTAAATTTTGGGCCACATACCCAGAGATGCTCAGGGGTTACTCCTGGCTCTGCACTGAGGAATTACTCCTGGTGGTGGATGAGGGACAATATGGAATCCCAGGTCGGCTGCATGCAAGACAAGTGCCTTATCTGTTGTACTATCTCTCCAGCCCCAAAACATAATTTTTCTTTGAAAACTTATACTGAAGAATTTTGGGAATAAAGGCATATGAAACACACAACTTCCTTTCAAGTGGGTTTGAAGTATAATGTGCTTATTAGAAATGACACATGGAACCAAATGTTGACCAAAAGTATGTCTAGATAAAAGGCATACAGGTATAATTTTTACATGCTAATTTAAAATGATTTTCAGTGTAAATATCATTCACAATATCACTTCTATTTCAAAATTTATTTAAATCACAAAAGTGTGATACTAAATTGAGTCTCTGCTAGAAACAAATTGAAAAGACCCTGGTGAAGTTTTTGTCTTGGGATTTCTTCTTCATTTAGTGCTATAACTTACAAAAGAAACAACAAAAAAGAAACTGAGACCCATTAAGAATAACATTTCAAACAGGAAAGACTTTTCTAAGTCATATGATGATTTCCTTCAAAGTTCAGTTAGTAGGTGCCAAAGGTAAACCATACCAGCAATGTATCTCCCAGTGGGGTCCACCTTTCCATCATTGAATCGATTGTTTTTCTTGTCTTTATCTACAGTGGCCAGGGTGACCACTGTCTGATCTTCCCAGTTCAAAGCACAGAACTTTGTACCAATGGTGGCGACATAGCCTCCTGACTGGCGCAGGGCCACAGAGCTGACTGAGGCATCTGTAGAGACAAAAAGTAGCAGCAGTCAAGCAGCTGAGTAGCTCATGCTGGTCACCAGGTCACTTGGCATCACTTCAAAGGTTGTCAGCTCTTGGGACTGGGGAGATAGCTCAAAGGTTTGGAATGACTGCTTTACATCCAAAGGTCTGGGTCCAAATCTGCTAACGGATCTGAGAGTAGCTGTTGACAGTGTGGGTTTTCTCTTCCTTTTTTTTGGTTTTCAGACTACACCCAAATGTGTTCACAGTTTATCCTGGCTCTGTGCTCAGGGATCACTCCTGGTGGGCTCAGGAGCCATATGGGATTCTGGGAATCAAACCCCAGTTGGCTGCACACAAGGCAAGCATCATACCTGCTGTACTATCTCTCCAGCCCATCCTTCTGTTGAATACTGAAGGCATTATAACTGAGTGTGTCCAAGAACAAACTCTGTACGTTGTTCTGGGAAGCAGGTACAGAAAGAGGCAACAAACCTAACTCTTCTTCACACCTTCCATCTAGTGGGACCAAGTGTAAAAGCCAGACCACAGCACCTCCCACATTTGGCAGGAGCCAAATCAAGCTCACAAGATGGGATTCCTAATGGAGGGCATCAAAGCAAAAGTCCCAAAGCAAATGATGCTCAATTTGCCTGAACTCCAAGAAGTTCAGAGACCCAAACGATTGGATGCTGTGATATCCCATTCCCTATCCTATACAGCATTTGTATTGTATTCGGCCCTTCTTATGTACATGCAATTGCAAACAATTTCTTATATCCTTTTTGAAAGTAAACAATGCATATAATAGAAAGAATTGTAGCTGCAGTGATAAAACCAGCCCATGTCTTCATTGTATTATCACATTTTTTGCATCAAAAAGGCTAGACTTTCTGCATTTGATACATTTTCACATAGAAGCAAACTTATTATGCCCCCTTCTATTCCTGTGGACTTTTTGTTTAAAATAGAAAGACCGTCCCCCACCCCAAGAACTGAGCAAAGAGTAGGCTCTGAGCACTTCTGGGTGGTACAGTCCACCGAATGTCTTCAAACACAACTAAAGCATCCCCATCACAAAGTGTGGGGGCACTGCAACTAAGTATGTGTGACCCCCCATCATCATGACCAAATTAAAAATAATCAGGGGGCTGGAGCAATAGTACATGGGCTGCGAGCTTGCCTTGTATGTGGCTGACCCGGCTTCTATCCATGGCACCCCCATCGGGTCCCTTGAGCTCACCAGGAGTGATTCCTGAGCACAGACCCAGGAGTAAGCCTTGAGCACCAATGGGTGTGGCTCTAAAACAAAACAACCCCCCACCCCGCAAATCAAAAATCAAAAGGGAAGGGAAAAATTATACATAAATATGGAAAGTTGAAGGGTTAGACAAAGATGTGGCACAGTGACAAGAGCACCTGCTTGTAGCATGAGGCCAAATGTGCCATGAGCAAGGTCCCCGAGCTCTGCTGTTTGGGACCACTAGTGCCTCCAAGCAGTGTGTGATCTCTGGCATACCTTATTCAGGTGTTTATGAACAGTGCCACCCCTCACCCAGCCCACAACTAAAACAAATGTTCTGTTTGGGGGTGGAGCAATAGTGTAGCAGGTAGGGCATTTGCCTTACATGTAACTGATTAGAGTTCAGTCCCCAGCATCCCATATAGTCCCCTGAGCACCACTAGGAGTAATTCCTGAGTGCAGAGACAGGAGTGATCCGGAGCACTGCTGGTTGTGACTCTCCCTGGGAAAAAATAACTAAAAATTGAGAAATAAAATGTGTGGATACGGGGCTGAAGCGATAGTACAGTGGGTAGGGCATTTGCCTTGCATGCGGCTGACCCGGGTTCGATTCCCAGCATCCCATATGGTCCCTCAAGCACCGCCAGGAATAATTCCTGAGTGCAGGAGCCAGGAGTAACCCTGTGCATCACCGGGTCTGATCCAAAAAGCCAAAAAAAAAGTGTGGATACTTCAGCCAGGCATGCAACCGTCCAGCAAGTATATGTGTGAGCACCAGAGATCCACCACCACCTCAAACCCGCAGTGCTGACAAAATGTGGGTGTGCTATTACCACGTGTATGTGCAACAAAGGGAAGGCAAAGAGGGACAGGTTATTCTATTTGGGGGCTTCACCCAGCTGTACTCAGGGGCTACTCCCATTTGAGTGCTTGAGGATTACTCCCTACATTTCTAGGGGCACCCTGAGGAATGGGGGATTAAACCCTGCCTCCTGCAAGCAAACATATGCTCAAACCTGTTGAACTCTCCAGCTGGGAAAGAAAAAGCCAGAGAGATAAAGGGCTGGACAGATAAGATAGGTCAGGGACTTGCCCTTGTGGCTATGGAGACTTGACCCTGGTTCAGAGCTCCAGCACCACATATGTCCCCAAGCACTGCTGGATGTGTTCCCCAAACCCAAAATTTAAAAAATAAAACAAGGGGCTGAAGTGATTGTACAGTGGGTAGGGTGTTTGTCTTGCACGTGGTTGATGTGAGTTTGATCCTCGACATTCTATAGGGTCCCCTGAGCTCACCAGGAATGACTCTTGTTTGTGCAGAGCCAGGAGTAAGTCCTGAGCACTGCCAGTGTGGCCCCAAAACAAACAAAAAATTAAATAAATAAAAATAAATCCCAAGTACCACAGGTCACAGCATGGCAGGGCTTGACACACTCTGTCCCCAGCTGAGCCCTGGATCATCTTGGGCTGGTTGGCCCAGTATTACTGGGGGTGGCCCTCAGAACACTGCTTGAGTGCACCCCCAAGAAAAGAAAAAAAACATTTCCTAAGCATGTAAGCAATGCAAGATGCTGGGTGGAGATATTTCAAGTCACAAGAATTGTTCTTATCTCTCTCTTCCCTAGTCATACCAGAAAGAAGATAACTTTCTGGGACCAGAGAATGTGAATGTGAAGAAACCCATTGCTTGTAAAGTCTCTGATTCTTGAACAGAATAGCTCACCAGGAATGACTCTTGTTTGTGCAGAGCCAGGAGTAAGTCCTGAGCACTGCCAGTGTGGCCCCAAAACAAACAAAAAATTAAATAAATAAAAATAAATCCCAAGTACCACAGGTCACAGCATGGCAGGGCTTGACACACTCTGTCCCCAGCTGAGCCCTGGATCATCTTGGGCTGGTTGGCCCAGTATTACTGGGGGTGGCCCTCAGAACACTGCTTGAGTGCACCCCCAAGAAAAGAAAAAAAACATTTCCTAAGCATGTAAGCAATGCAAGATGCTGGGTGGAGATATTTCAAGTCACAAGAATTGTTCTTATCTCTCTCTTCCCTAGTCATACCAGAAAGAAGATAACTTTCTGGGACCAGAGAATGTGAATGTGAAGAAACCCATTGCTTGTAAAGTCTCTGATTCTTGAACAGAATAACATTTGCAATTCCTCCATTGTGCAGTGAACAAAGAGCCCTGGATGATACTTCTTTTTTCTTTTTGGGTCACACCCGGCTATGCACAGGGGTTACACCTGGCTCATGCACTCAAGAATTACTCCTGGTGGTGCTTGGGGGACCATATGGGATGCTGGGAATCGAAGCTAGGTCCGCCACGTGCAAGGCCAATACCCTACCCACTGTGCAACCACTCTAGCCCCTGAATGATACTTTTTAAGCCTAAAACTTCTTTTTACTTTCCAAATAGAGTTGTAACATTTTTTGGTGGGGGGGAGTTGTGGCCACACTTAACTGTGCTTAGGGCTTACTTCTGGCTCTGTGCTCAGGGATCACTCCTGGTGGTGCTGAAGGGGACTTGGCTGCTTCATGCAAAAGGCAAGCACCTTACCCCATTATATTATTTCTCCAGCCCTTATAATATTAAGGCCTTAGGCTGGAGAGATAGAACAGCAGGAAAGGTGTTTGCCTGGCATACAACTGACCTCAGTTTGAGTTCCTTGTACTGCATTTTCCCGTGAGTACTGCTGGAGAGCCCCCTTAAATAATAAATGAAAACAGAAGCTAGTATAGAGGCAGGCTGGGGTGGGAGGCTTGGTGAAAGGATGGATGTTGAAATATTGTGAGACTGAAACTGAATCATGAACAACTGTGTATCTCATGGAGATTCAATATTTTTTAAAAAGGAAAAAAATGAGTCTTGAATGATAGCACAATGGCTGGAGTGCATGCTTTGCATGTGGGAACTTAAGTTTGATCCCCAAATCCATCCTAGGTTCTTCCAGGAGTGATCCCTGAGTACCGTTATACTGTTGCCCCCTACCCCACCCATTCCCAGCAAAAAAATGAGGAAGGATGGATTTTACTATGCCATAAACCAGGCATACATCTTTCAAAGCTACCATCTCAAGGTCTCTTGAAAGATCCTACAGTGCCCCCTACTGCAAACAAAATATGGAATGTTGCTCCTCAGCCAAAGAGAAAGAGAGGATGCAGCCTTGGTGTCTTGGTCAGAGTGGATGGACAGAGCTTGGGCACAGGGTCGAAGCCATAATAAGGCTATGAGGCATATTCAGTAGGCTTTAACCAGAAGGTCCCCAGAACGTCAAACACCCCATGACTGCCACTGTCCAGCAAAAAAAAAAAAAGGTGCTGTCTGGGCAGATCTGAGCCACCCTCAACCTTCAACCTTACCCACGCTCATTCGCTGCACTTGCTTGCTAAGCGGATCCCATCGGAAAACCTTTTTTGCAGGAATATCCACAAAGAGTAGAGAATTAGTTGCTTCCTCCCACACAGGAGATTCCCCACACCAGCATTTCTCCAGCAAAACACATTCAGTCTTAATGGAAGACATGGTTATGTAGATCTACTGAAGGTAAGAGAGACAAAAATCACATGTAATCTACAGAGAAAATTCAACCAAATACCCAGCTTCAAGCCCCGATAAGACCAAGATGGGTTATTTTTTTGGCAGGGGAGGAGGGAGGGTGGGGGGAGGGTTGGTGGTGTTGCTCAGGGGCTAATTCTGACTTTATGCTGGGGGGTGCTTACACAGTTGTGCTGTGGCAGGAGTGGGGTGGGGAAAGGACCACACAGAGCTAGGGATTGAACCCGGGTCTCCTACACACAAGGCATGTTGTCAGCCCATAGAGTTATTTCCCTGGCCCCTAGTTCTTGGCTTTTGTTTTGCTTTACTAGAATTGCAAGGGCTGGAACCAGTTTTCCCGAACCAGAACCAATGTGGCAGGAGACAGGTATGAAAGAGGAGAAAGCAGACAGGCAAGACCCAGAAGCTCTTCAATCAACTTACCAGTCCGTTACTCCCTGAAGCTACTTTAGAGAGGGAAATTAAGGTTCAGGATAGGAGCGGACATTAGCTGCAGCTCAGGGCGCAGATTGAGAGGCTGTCTTTTAACCAGCAGCTCATCCCCGGGGCAGCGGCAGTCTGCACCCTCATTGGTGCATCTGCTCCTGCCCAACCAACCAGAGGCACTCTCCCGATTCACCAGGCCACAACCTCCCTTCTTTGCATTTCTCCTTAGTGCTTTTTGAGGGTGCAGGGAGGGTCACACCTGGTGGTGCTCAGGGGCTCTACCTGGCTCTGAGCAGAGGACACACTCCTAGTGGTGCTCAGCAGACCTTATGTAGTGCCCATTATTGAATCTGGTAACTGCCTGCAAGGCAAGTCTCCCTCCACTATATTTTTTGGTTTTGGGGCCACATCTGGCAGTGCTTAGGGGTTACACCTGGTGGGCATGGGGGAGGCATATGGGATGCCAGGGATAGAACTCGAGGTGGGCAACAGGTAAGCATCTTCATAATTTATGTTTTCCTTTGGAGGACACACCCAATGATGCACAGAGACTACTCCCTTTGGGGTTGGGGTCACAGGGGCCAGTCCTGGGGTCCTGGGGGTGCTCTGGGGACTGTGCAGTGCCAAGGTTGAACCCAGGCCTCCTGCATGTTATGGCACATCACACTCTGGCACATCAAACTTCCTTTTAAAAAGTATGAGTGTATATATATATAGTTAGTATATAATATTAGTATATATAATTTTATTATAATTTAGGTAATAGGGTTACAAAAGCGTTGACGTCTTTGGTGTTGATACACAAAATTACTGTCCACCACCACCATGACCCTCACCCCCATCTCTATAGCCCCTCTGCTCCCACTTTCCTTCCCTCCTACCCTGCCCCCATTAGCTGTTATGATTTGGGTGCATGCTTTTACCCCCTTATCACCACCCCAGTGTTCCAGACCATCCTCCTATGCCCCTGGGAAGTTTCCTAGCAGCCTATTTGTTCCCCTCCCCTCGGCCCCCTAATGGGTCTGTATTCCAGTGTTTGAATCAAATCCAGAACTGCCAGCCAATGTTAATTTCAAAGGAGGAAATGGAGGAAGGAATGTAACTGGGCACTAAAGCACTGCTCAGCTCAGCTGTTTCTTGCTCTGAGGACACACTAGTTTGGCAGCCTAACCACCCCTAGGCAGAAACTTACGCTGGACAATGGCCTGAGATTAGACTGATCAATGGGGAAATGATCAAAAAAGAAACTCAAAAACCTTGCCACAGAGAACCATCCGGGAGGGGCTGGACAGATAGCTATTAGGGGTTAAGGTGCTTGCCCTGATATATGGCCAAACCCAATTAGATCACCAGGTACCACTAAGCAGAGGACAAAGGAGTAAATGCTGAGCCTTTCCATTGTTTTTGTTTGTTTGTTTTTGGTCCACACTCAGTTGTACTCAGGGCTTACTCCCGCCTCCACTCCTGGTGCTACTCCCGGGATCTTTGGTGCCAAGACTCAAACCTGTGTGCAAGGCAAGCGCCCTACCCACTGTACTATCGCTCCAGCCCTAACCCTGAGCCCTTTGTGCGTGGCCCCAGCATCCCTTTGCCCTTAAAAGAAGAAAACTGGGGCTGGAGAGATAGCACAGCGGTTAGGGCATTTGCTTTGCACGCAGCTGACCTGGGTTCAAGTCCCAGCATTCCATATGGTCCCCCAAGCACCGCCAGGAGTAATTCCTAAGTGCAAATCCAGGAGTAATCCCTGAGCATCGCTGGGTGTGACCCAAAAAAGCAAAAAAACAAAAAAGAAAAAAAAAGAAAACCACCTGGAAAAGGAAAAACAAACTTTCAGCAGCCTCTTCTTTCTCTCACACTGCGACCTGATGCTGGTTAAAAATATGTCGCACCTTCCTTATCTCTGGCATCTCCCTGCTTGGTTGTGGGTCCACAGATGGATGGGCAAAAGGAATGAGGCAGAGGATGGAAGGAGGGAAAATAATCACTGCTTTGCTATTTTCTTTCTTTCTTTGTTTGTTTTTTGGGCCACACCCAGAGATGCCCAGGGTTTACTCCTGGATCTGTGCTCAGGAATTACTCCTGGACGTACTTGGGAGACCATATGGGATGCCAAGGTTTGAACCCAGGTAGGTTGTGTGGAAGGCAAATGCCCTACCCACTGTTATTGCTCCAGATATTTCTTCCAATGAACTACTTTTGGAAAAAGAGATGCTGGGGAGATAGTTCAAGGGGCTGTATGCACGAGGGTCCTGATACCTACTCCCAGGGAGTAGCCCCTGAGCACAGACAGCTGTGGCTTCCAACCCCAAAAAACATACGTCAGAAACAAAAGAGGGAGCTGGGGATATAGTTCTACAGGCAGGAGCACAAGCTTTGCATGTAGGAGCCCCAGGTTTGACCCACTGAACACTGTCTGGAGTAACACTCCCCACCCTGCCCCCCAGCACTATGGGGGTATGATGCCAAAACAGAAATAATAAACGTTTTTTTTTGAGCCACACCCAGCAGTGCTCAGGGTTTACTCCTAGCTCTGTGCTCAAGATCTGTGCTACTACTATCACCATTACTCCTGGTGGTGACTGGTGGCCCATATAGGATGCTGGGGTCGGCCTCCTGCAAGAAAAATGCCCTACCCTCTGTATTATCATTCCAACCCCTGAAAATTTTTGAACAAGAGGGGATTTAGCTCATTGTTGGAGTTCAGGTATCACATGAGCAAGGAATTTGACATCTAGCACATCAATAAAAGAAAGGAAAAAAGGAAGGAGGCAGGGAGGGAGGAAGGAAGGAAGGAAGGAAGGAAGGAAGGAAGGAAGGAAGGAAGGAAGGAAGGAAGGAAGGAAGGAAGGAAGGAAGGAAGGGAAGGAGGGAGGGAGGGAGGGAGGGAGGGAGGGAATCAACGATTCTAAAAATAAATGAGAGCTTTTTTGGGAAAAACTCAAATTAGTCTCACAACACTCTCGGCTAAAGTCAGAGCATTTGGAATCGTCATCGGTTGTTACAAATTAGCCCAAGTCGCAAAGGCCTTGCTGCTATCACTCTTAGATAAGGCTGAGTTGCGCGGGCCTTGTGCAACAGCACTTGTGACCTCCCCGTGCTCAGTGGTGCCACCCAGGGGCGGGCATTGAGTTTGCTTCCGCCGGGGCCCGTGAGAGCGCGGACCGAGTGGTCCTGGACCCCCGAAGGTGACCCCGGCGGGGGGAGGAGTTGGAAGGTGACTCGGACCCGCACCAGCCCCGGGATACCTTGGCGCCGGGGGAGGAGTACTGCTCCTTTCTGCGTGGACAGTTGAAGCCTCAGGCCACAGCCAGGCCCTGGGAATCAGCCGGTGGGAACCGCCTGCCCTTGGCTCAAGGCGGTGCTGACCGGACTCCCGCAGTACACAGCCGGGGTGGCGATCAGCCTCTTTCTGGCGCCTCAGCTCCCAAGTCTGGGTCGAGTTTGGCGGTCGCCAGACCGTTTCCTCTCCTGGGCGGGCGGGTGCGGGGTGCGGGGTAGGGGTTGGCGGGGTGTGGAGGAGGGAGGCCGGCGAGACCTGAACGCTCACCCCGCTAGTGACAGCTAGGGTAGCTAGCACAAAGGTCAGTGAGGAAGAGACGGGGGTGGCTTAGCTTGGGCGGTGCCGAGTGCTTCCCCCAGCCCCCAGCGCAGCGTTGACTCCTTCTCTTTCTTGAGTGGCTGAAATATTCCTGCAGAGCTCTCCTGCGGCAAGGGCGTGGAACAGAAGCTCCGAGCTCACTGAACCTAAGCTTTGGAATTTGGACACTTAGATGTAACACGTTTCAAAAAACTGTAGTTAAAATGCCTAAGGGAAGGGAGGAAGGGAGGGAGAAAAAAATTGCCTAACTTTAGATTGGGGGAAGGGAGTGTCAGGGTAAACCCATACTGGTTAGAGAAGAAAGAAGTGGTGAAACAAATCGTTCCTGGGTGGAGAAGACCCTAGTGGCTGGAGGCCAACTCTTCCAAAAATTATTTTCTTTTCCTTTCTTTCTTTCTTTCTTTCTTTCTTTCTTTCTTTCTTTCTTTCTTTCTTTCTTTCTCTCCCTCCCTCCCTCCCTCCCTTCCTTCCTTTCTTCCTTCCTTCCTTCCTTTTCTCTTTCTTTCTGTCTTTGCTCAGATTGAAAATTGAAAACATATGAGACCTGGGAGCCAGGGAGATAGTTCAAAGGGCTGGAGCAAGGTGCTTTGCATGAAAACACTCCAGAGTACCTCTGTGAGGACTGTGCCCTTCCCACCTCAGCACCACATTGGGGTCCTAGTATTTCCCAGCGCTGCAAGTTGGGCAACCTCCCAGCCCCTTCCCAACACTAGCTTGTTAAAAAAACACCTCCCAAATCATAAGGAAGAAAGTAGCATTCAGTTTTGCAGCTCCAGAGAGCCTGAATGGCTTCCTGGTCCTGTTAGGGGCCCTCTATACTGTCTCGAAATACCCACAAGTTAAAAACAGTTTTTATTTATTTATTTATTTATTTATTTATTTATTTTGGCCACACCTGGTACTGCTCAGGTCTTACTGCACTCAGGCATTATTCTTGTCAGTGTTTGGAGGACTTTATGGGGTGATGGGTCTATTGTGTGCAAGGCAAGCACCCTGCCCGCTGTACTCAGGCCCCCTAAAAACATTTTTAAAAATTAACTGGAGGAAACTGGAGGATTAAAAAAAAATTGGAGGTGGTTGTTCAGATGAACTGGGAGCCAGTAATTCACTATGATGCGGGGCTGGGGAGTTGTGAAAGGTATTATCTTGGGTTATGGAAGTATTCTGTATCCTCAATGCATTTTGCCTTGCCAGATGTAGACTCTGCCTGACAGCCTCCATTGGGGGCCAGAGGGATAGTACAGTGGGTAGACTGTTAGAGTATTTGCCTTTGCATCTATGTGGCCAACCTGGGTTCAATCTCTGGCATCCCATATGGTACCCTAAACTCAATAGGAGTGATCTCTGAGCACAGAGCCAGGAGTCAGGCCTGAGCACTGCCAGGTGTGGCACAAAAACCAAAATCAAAACCAAACCAAACCACAAAGCCTTCAGTTGTCAGTTGTGAATTTGATTGTAGGTGTTGAATCCACATATTAAGGCATTAATTATTAATAATTATTAATTAACACCATTATTTATCATTAATTATTATTTATTAATCCACGGGCTGGAGCAATAGCACAGTGGGTAGGGCGTTTGCCTTACATGCCTTGCACACGGCCCACATGGCTGACCCAAGTTCAAATCTCCGCCCCTCTTGGAGAGTCCGGCAAGCTACTGAGAGTATCTTGCCCTCACGGCAAAGCCTGGCAAGCTACCCGTGACATATTCGTATGCCAAACACAGTAACAACAAGTTTCATGATGGAGACGTTACTGGGCCCACTCAAGCAAATCAATGAACAACGGGAGGACAGTGCTACAGTGCTATATATGATGTATTAATCACCCAGTTATTTGCTGCTCAATCTAATATCCCTTCCCTGTCATCTGCACAACCCTGAACTCACTATCATTGCAGCATTCGCCTTTCCTTTATTCCACTAAGGAGGTCAGACAAAAAGAAAGTATTTAAAGGTGTAAGGCTCCGGTATGCAGGAGAGGATGGCTGCATTCTATTTTTCTGTTGTGCGTAGGGGGTTGGATCGCCTTGGTGTTGCCCAGGGCTTACTCCTAGTTCCGAAATCACTCCTAGTGGTTCTTGGGGATCATATGGGATGCCAGCGAGGGGATGGAACCTTGGTCAGCCGCATGCAAGGCAAGCGCCTGGGGATAGAAGTATTCTTGGCTCAACATTTAAGATTAGTGACTGAGAATAACTCAGTTATTTCCCCTTTCCCCCCAGGGAGATACTTAATATCACTATTATGTCCTGTTCCTATTTGCAGATGGGAAAGCACTAGAGAGAAGAGATTTTTCCCAAAGCCACCTAGGGGAAACTCTGGCCAATAGCCTTAATTATAAGCAGAATAAGAATTTATTTTCTTTCTTTATTATTATTTCACTTTTGAGTCACACCCAGAGGTGCTAAGGGCTTATTGCTATGTCTCTATGCTCAGGGATAACCCCTGGTGGTGCCATATGCAGTGCCTGAGATTGAACTACGGTGGGCCCAAGTGCAAGATAAGTGCTTTACCTGCTGGACTATCTCTCTGGCTCAAGGCTACATTTTTTTTTAATTTTATTTTTATAAAGTTGTTCACAATAATTCATTACATTTAATATTCGAACATCAATCTCACCCTTCCACCACTATATTTTGGATATTTCCACCCCAAATACCAAAACTTGCCCCCAAAACAACTGAAACAATTAATTTTGTATTGCTTGTTATGAATAATCCACTAAAAATGGTTCAATAAAGTTCCCTTAGAGGAAAGTGTGTGAAGATTGTTGTATTCAATTCTGGAGAAAGCTACATTTCTTTCTTTTTTCTATTTTTTTTTTGTTTTGGGGCCACACCTGGAGGTGCTCAGGGGTTACTCATGGCTCTGTGCTCAGAAATCCTTCCTGGCAACTCACAGGACCATATGGGATGCCGGGGATAGAACCCAGCTGGCAGCATGCAAGGCAAGTGCCCTACCTACCTACTCCTGCTCCCAGGGCTGCATTTCTTTACCACTCTCTTTTATTCAATGTTAGATGAAGTCAGGTAACAGGACCCAAATCTATGTTGATCTTTACAGTTCAAAGATGGCTGCCTGAAGGTGGGTGAGAAAGTTGGTACTAGGAGTCAAGCTTGTCTCTTCTGCTGCATTTTTTTTTCAGGTTTTGGGTCATACCTGGCAATGCTCAGGAGTAAGTACTGGCTCTGCACTCAGGAATTACTCTTGGTGGTGCTCGGGGGACCATAAGGGATGTCAAGGATTGAACCTGGGTCAGCTGTGTGCAAGGCGAGTGCCCTACCCGCTGTACTATCACTCTGACCCCAGAAGAATAAGAATTTAAAGGACACTTGTTGAGGCTGGGCAGAATGGGATTCTCATGGGGTTCTCTGGAATTTCTGTTGGGCCCTTTACCTGTCCTATGACTCTCCAAATTCCTAAATGTTGATGGCTCAGCAAATACCTCAAGCTACAGACCAGTATATTGAACCCTTTCCTCAGCAACACCACTGACATGTTCAAAACCATATTATTCTCCACAGCCTTCCTGTGTACTTTATCTGGGACTGTCACTAAATGGGGCCATGAGCCAGTCATCTGACTGTGTAAGAAGCCTAGATAGCTAGCACCCATTCAGTCGAGATAGGAGAGGATCTATTTTTGTGATTTGGAAAGTGATTATGTCTATTTTTTGAGGTGTGTGTGAGGCACATGGCTTACACCTGGGTGCTTGTGAAACAATATGCAGTGGTTGAGATTAAACTGGGGTTCACCAGTGTGCAAGGCAAGTGCCGTACCTGCTGGACTATCTCTCTGACTCAGGAACTACATTCCTTTATCTCTCTCTTTCCTACAAGGTTAGATGAAGTGAGATCACAAGATCTGTATCTATGTTGATCTTAACTATTTTGGGAGATACCACTGCCCTGAAAGAAGGTCAGAAAGTTGTCCCTACTAAGGAGCCAGGCTTGTTTCTGTTTTTTCGTTGTTGTTGTTTTGGGGCCACATTTGGAGATGTTCAGGTGTTACTACTGGCTTTGCGCTCAGAGATAACGCCTGGTGGTGATTGGGAGACCATATGGGATGCCAGGAATTGAATCCAGGTCGGCTTTGTTCAAGGTGAGCTGCTTACCTGCTGTACTATCTCTCCAGCTCCTCTCCTGCTGCTTCTGTTACAGAATGACTCATTCTCTTCTCTGATATGACCAGAGCCACACAGTGCCCTTTAAGACTGGACAGGACAAAAAAAGACTGGACAGGATATAGCAGCCAAATGAATCCCAGGAAATGACCACAAACAAGTTTTTTTTTTGGTTTGTCTTGCTTAGGAGCCATACCTTGCAGTACTCAGGGACTATTTCTGGCTCTGTGCTAACCACATGCAGAATGTCCTTTTATTCATTTACTTACGCTTTTGGGGTTGCACCAAGTGATTCTCAGGAGTTACTCTGGGCTCTCCTGGTTCTGTACTCAGGATTACTCCTGGGGGTACCCAGGGGATCATATGGGATGCCAGGGATCAAACCCGGGTCAGACCTTTGCAAGGCAAACACCCTACCTGCAGTGCTCTCACTCTGGCCCCCAGAATGTCCTATTAATAGAGGCTGGAGAGGCAGTACAGTGGGTACGGCTTGCCTTGCATGTGGCCAACCCTAGTTTAATCCCCGGCATCACATATGGTCCCCTGAGCACTGCCAGAAGTATTTCCTGAGCACAGAGCCTGGAGTAATCCCTAAGCATTGTTGGGTGTGGCCCCCAAACAAACACCCCCCTCAAAAAAGCAGAATGTCCTTTTAATAGACTCTGGGGCCTAGAGGGCCATGGAAGAACTTTCCCCAAGCCCATGGGTCTCCCAGACAGCTGGGTGATTTATTATTTAAGTCTCATGAGAAACTGTTATTTTTGTTTGTTTTGGGGTCACACTCAGAGGTGTTCAGGGCTCACTCTTGGG